TAATGAGAGAGGGGAAGAGCAGCTAGCACCATGAAGATAGAAATAAGTATAACATGAAAATTAGAAAATTTAGAAGAGTTCCTTCATTTAAGAGCTGGTTTTAATGCATTTAAATTTAGAGCGTTTTCAGAGAACCGTAAGCTTGAGGGTTCTTCCAATTGCAGTTAGTAGGTAGGTTTTCCAAAAAAAAAAAAAAGGGTGAAGATTCTGCAAACATACTTTTGAAAAGTGAATACTGGAGTTATGTTTGGTTGGAATTTTATTATAAAGGGGCTGTCCTTTATATCATGATTACTTTGGTTGTTTAGTTCCAAAATAGATGAAAAGCCTGAAAAATCACATGTGGAACATGGCAAATAATTCCTTTGTATTTAGTATAACAGAACCACTGTAAAACCATCTGCTCTGGATTTGTTTAGGCCTTAATCCTCATACACATAGTCCTTGTTCATTTACCTGGGTGGTCTCTCTGACTTGATTGAGATTACTCCTGAGAGTAATGAGTTGCAAGACCATACACAGTGTAGACAACATTTAAAGTAACCTTGATCCAGTGTTTCAGAAATAAACTCTCCACAAAACAACAGAATCATTGGGAGCGGGGGAAGGAGGATAATATACGTGGAAGAGGGAGATTAAACTGGTTGTAGTTTGTACTTCTCTACCACTTCCTTGTCTTACTCCAAATGGAGTTTCTGAGACTACAGTGTATGTTCCTTAGGTGGACTCCATTTTTATTTAAAGGAATAGGGAGCAAGAATAACTCCTTGAGGCTTGTGAAGATACATAGTTCTATGTTTCATGCTAAATGAAACTTGTATACTTTGGGTATGGCCTGGATGCACATTTTCTACTTAACCAAGGGTATTGGGCATCGAGTAAAGTTGCATTGTTAATATTGTAGCTTTTATTAAATAAGTTTCACAGTTACAGTAAACTGAACCTAAAAAGCATTAAATAGGTTTTCTTAAAATTTAAAAAAAATTGATTATAATTATAAAAATGGGATTTATTTACTTTTTCAATTTAAAGTACTAAAGAATATTGAAGGCTGTTTGTGAAAATGCTTGCAGAGCACCATATCAGGAACTTAATAAGGAGGGTTCTAAAAACTCAGCAAATATAGGCCATGTTTTTAAAATTAAGCTGTATTCCAAAACTTGCTCTGTTTATCAGAATTATGACCTCTTTAGAAATGTGAATGGAAGTGACAATTTGGCAAAGGGTTACTTTGTTTTTAAGAACTCTCATCTATTCAAGAGTTCTGTCTTGAAAACAGACCTGTACAAATTAGGTAATGCTCTCTATCCCATATGGATCGTCTTTTATTTTGTTATGTACAGGTTTTTAGAACTATACAAAAATAGTAATATACAGATTTAGGAATCCATTCCAAGGTAAATTGAATGTCTTTAAATCCTATTGACTTCAGCA